GGATGGCGTGGCACAGAGGCGACGGTTTAATTGAGCTTCTGCAAAGGTGTTTGATTGCACTGGGATGTCTTTGTCTGCCATTGAGGACAGGGTCCTTGTGGCATTTGGAGGGCTCTGGTTTCCAGGATGAAGAGATGTTCTCTAAACTTGGACAATAAGTTTAAAAAAAGTTACAGAGATTCCTTTGCAAAGCCTTCTCTGAAGGTTGCATTTGTGCACTGTTTGCTTTGCTAGCGGAGGCTCCTCTGGGGATTTGTCCTGATTGCTCCTCTTATTGCCGTTTCCTTTGTTTCTATTGGAGTTTAATCAAATTAGGACAGAGATAACTTTAGGCTCCCTTTAGGTGATTTTTGATGATCTTAAATTCAAGTTTACGCCTCTTGTCAGGGTTTATTCCTCAGTGCAATCTTAGATGAGCCCAGGTGATCCAGTTTCAGCAGTCTAGCTACAGTCCTGATTAGGCTGTTTTTTTGCTCAGCCTGGGAAAATTCATAGTCCCTGGTTTGCTCAGTACCAGGACCCCTTTTGTCTCAGATCAAGTGGACATGCATGAAATAGTCGCTCATCTTACTGGGGTATAGTTCAGATGACTGAGATTTCCAGATAGACACAGAATACTAGCTCTCCATAGAGGGTATAGAGTGCTCTCTCTGTACAGTTTGTATCCCGTTTCATCCCTGCCAGGGTTATTTAATGTGTTCACCTTCCTCTCCTCCCCATTAACTTCTAGTTCCTGGGCAACATAATATTCTGGCTTAATTGGGTTTTCACACTTTATCACCTAGAAAGAAAAACCTCCTTTAGCACCATAAGGAGAAGAGGGTCTTCTTTTTTATTCTTTTATTGTTTTCTTTTGAATTTCGGATTTAGAGTTAGTGGGCAGGTCTCTTCACACTAGGTTAATAATGTACATTGTGTACATTCATCTTGGAAGCATATAAACTTGTTCTCTAGTTTTTTTCTATTGAGAAGCAAAATTTGCCTTCAGTGCATTTTTTTGGTAAGTGTCAGTACATGTTTAAAATTGTTGTCTTATCATCTGCTGATACTAAGGGAAAAATAATGAGGACATAATCAGAGATTCCAGGAGTCTTGTAACATTTTGAATTATCAGACAATATTGTGGTTCTTTGTAATTCTTTTGTAAAATGAAATTAATATAAAATAGCAGTAATTCTCAAAAGCCCAAAGTATCCAGATGGCTTGTCAGAATTCAATCCAGTTGAGCTAAAAATCATTGCATGCCGTATAAAGTATGTCAGTGGACTATAACTTACTTAAGCCAGTACTGGATAAAGATTGAAATACATTTTAAAAGGAAAATATTAGCGAGGCTAAGTGCATCTTTAGTCAGTCACAATTCTTACTAGACAATTGTACACTCTACAGTCCCATCTACCCAGCTAGCCTTTCTTCTGCTTTTCAACCAAAATGGTCATCAAATTAAAAAAAAAATTAATGACTTAAGTTGGATGCTATATTCCTACTCAAACTATAGCCAAATGCCAATAATTTAGACCATTGGGACCATTTAAATAGAGATTCACAAGGAAGCATGGGAAGTGTGAAGGAAACAGTGCGTTTATCAGAAGATAGAAGAGATAGACCTGGTGTGGTGGTGCATGACAGTAACCTAGTTACTTGGCAGGTGGAGACAAGAGAAATGTGGTTTTGGGGAAAAGTTAGCAAGACCTGTCTCAAAAGCAAACTGGGTATGGTGCATGCCTGTGCTCCCAGATATTTGGGAGGTGTAGGTAGGAGGGTGTTGGCTCAAGGCCAGCATGGACAAAGTTAGCCTGAGACCCTATCTGAAGGACAAACTAAAAAAGCAAAGTGGGGTGGGGCGTGGCTCAAATGGCAGTATGCTTGCCTAGCAAGTGTGAGATGTGAGTTCAGTACCCAGTACCTAAAAAAATAAAAGATAGAACAGATAACTTTAAAAGAAAGGAATGTAAACTCATAAAAGTAGATGTGACCTTGGTATAGTGAATAAAATACAACAATAATAATTTAATAATTAATAACATTATTAGTTATTTCGGGCCTATTCTGGGGACTGGAGACAGATCATAGACAAGACGCCCTTGCCTGTGCTTACATTCTGTTGGCAGGAGAGTAAAATGTTACATAATAAACATCCTAAACAAGTGACTTATGTAGAATGTAAACAGTGTAGGGAGAGGTATCAGGACTTGGGGGTGTTACAGCATTAAGTAGCAAGGTCAAGGCAGACCTTGTGATGAGAGGTTGTGAGCCAAGATTTGAAGATGAGGGAGTTAGCCTGGTGAAAAATGCAGTAAGAACATATTCCTGGACTAGAGAGGACAGCTAGTCTAAGGAGGAGAGAGGCTGGAGTGAGTGAGGAAGACAGGAAGCCACGTGTTAGGGAGGAGCAAGCAGGTGGGAAAGATGGGGGCCCGATGGTGTTGGACAGTGAAGTGGGGAGCCCTCACAGGGTTTTGAGCAAAGGACTTTCCTGGTCTGAGCTAACATTTTAGCCATGTCACTCTGCCTCTTTGTTGAGAATAGTATTTGGGGGACAAGAATGGGAGGAAGAAGGCCTGCTGGGAATCTTATCAAGGTAGAAGTGACGGTGGGATGGGTGACTTGGAACAGGTTTTGGTCAAGGAGATAATAAGTGGTCACATCCCAAATGTATTTTGAAGGTGGACTGAAAAGGATTTCCCAAGGCACCAGATGTGAACTGTGAGGGAAAGAGGGGAGGGAGGGGGAGAAAAATCCAGAGTGTGGTCCTGGAAGCAGGAGAAAGTGACCCTCTGAATTAGAAGATCAGATCTGGGGACTGACATTCTCTGGGATTATTGATCCAGCTGTTGAAGATTAAATTAATATGGCTTAGTATAGTCCTTCTTCTTGGCTCCCCAAACATTTTTTTTTTCCACAAAGAGGAGAAGACAGATGAAGCAATGGCTGATGGGAACTGGGTTCAAGAGGTTTGCTTTGTTTTAGATGGGAGAATTAACAGTATGCATTTACCCTGATGGGAATGTCTAAGGCAGGGAGAGGGTGATATGGAAGAGAAAGAACAATCTAGTGTATAGCTTTTGATGCCAGCAAGGCTGGTTCCTCTGTGCCAGCAGACTAAAGGCAGAACACTTTGGTTGTTGGATGAGTGAGTGGCCTGATTGTTAAGTGTCCGGGAAACAAGGGTCTCAGCAGAAAGTAAGAGTGGGGAGGAGGTATTGGATGTTTCAGGAAGGAGAAGGTGTGACGTTACCATCTGGCGGTGGGAGAGGGTAGAATAAGATGCTTTTCAGGCAGTACTGAGGGTTCACTGGGGTTCCAGGTGAGCCTGGTCAGCAGTGTTGGGGGTTTGTTCCAGCCATGTCAGCAGCATGCTACAGGATGACATGCCCAGAGAGTAGTCACACAGTGCCACACAGATATAGAGACAGGTGAGGTACAAGGGTGTGCTGGTAGTAACTGACCGTGGAATTTAAAGTGGGTAAAGATGAAAGGAAGAGGACAAAGGGGAGGAGGGACTGCGAAAAGCTGGCAGAAACAGGGGCTTAGAATTTCGAATGGCTCAAAGGATTGTCAGAGTTGGGGCGCTGGAAGGAGCAAACTGGAAGATAGGGAGTGGTGCTCAGAGGAGGACGCATAAAACAGATCACAGAGGAGTTGGAATTTTTGCTAATGAAAAGGTGTATGCATGCCCTTGACAATGAGTGACTGAGGCAGGGTAGAAGACATGCATGATGGTGTGGAGGAATTAGAAACAAAAAGGCCAGGAGGTTGGAGTGTCCTCAGTGTGGGCTGGAATTGCCCAGGATTAGGCAGAAGTCATTGGAGAGTGATGGATCTGGAGAAATGATGGTAAATGACAGAGAAGGATGGATGACTGCCATAGTGAGGGAGGTCAGTTCAGAGCTAGGCATTTCAGCAACAGTGTGGAGAGAGACCTGGAGGTGGTAGGCGGATCCAGGAGGCAGAGGGACAAGGAATGGCATTGGTTAGAGGGCTGTAGGGAAGCAGAGGTCTGGGAGGAGAGGCAGGTTACAATTGGAGCAGGAAGGCACAGCCTCAATACAGAGAGGGCACTGGGCAGTGGGAATTTGGCTGGTGGTTCCCTGTAGATTTCATCTTTCGTGGAAGGGCATCAGGGGTTCAGAAGAGGGGGGAGATGTAGGAGAACTAGAGTGAGAGCAATGAGAGGGACCTGAGTGTGTGTGTGTGTGTGTGTGTGTGTGTGTGTGTGTGTGTATTTATGCATGTGTGTGTGTTGACTGACATCAGCAGGGATAAAGACATGTGGTGAACTCATAGATGGTGCCAGCGGGGCTGTGAGCATTGGGCAGAGTAAGGAGTGGGCATCTTGGCTTCATTCCTGCCTGACCATCGGGTGGGGAGATCTGGGGAATGACAGCTCAGTTCCTGTGTGCAGGCCTCATAGGGGTGAGGTGACTGCTGAAGTGGAGCAAGAGGAAGGCTGAAGAAATCTTGGGGTCTAGGTGAAGCCCTCACCTGCTCAGAGGGAAGGGGAGGTAAACTGAGTGTTTAGGGCTTAACCCTTGTCTGATTAACAAGAGAGTGCCTTATGTGTTTACTATGTGGCAGAACTGTCTTGTCACTTCTTTATTACATGAGGACACTGCTCCAGGTCACACAGCTACTCAGTCAAGGAGACAGGATTTGAACCCAGGTCTCTGACTAATGGCAGCTCATTTATACTTAATTCACTGTTTTGTCACAGTTCCTGTACAGTATGGTGGAGACTGTCATAGGGACTTAATTATTTTGTTAGTAAAAAGCATTAAAAACTATTGTTTCTTGTCACCTTGGCTTTTTAAAAAAAACCTCATGTCATCATGCTGTTTCTGAAACACTATTTGGATGATCAGCTGAAATTCAGTCTCAGTCTGAGAAAGTTTGCAAGCTTGTGACACAGCCCCAGCACGACAGGCCTTTGAGGCTTTGCTAGGTTCAGAGGTGTCTGCAGCTTCTCTTTTTTGCAACTGCTCTTGTTTTTTCTTTTGTAGCTGAACAGGAGGACACTCAGAAGAAAACCTTCACCTGCTGGATAAATTCACAGTTAGCAAAGGTGAGGACAGAAAAGCAAATGAAGTCATAAAGATATTTGTCACCTCCCTACTCCCACCCTTTTGGGCCCCAAGGAGACCATTAGAAAGATGGCTTGGATGACCTAGAAAAGGTTGGAATGTCTTTTCGTAAAAGAATGTGCAGAAAGTCACCTTGACCTTGGGATATTTGTTATTTTTCCCCTACACATGGAAAGGGAACTTTCATTAAGTATATCAAGTGGAAACTTTCCTTCATCAAATGAAATAATAATTTGATCTGTCTGAACTGAGTGTGCAATCCTAAACTCTTTAAACGAAATGATTATGAATACTCCTGACATTTGTTGTTTTTAAATCATGGTTTAGTGATACAGTACCCTATAGAGTACAAATTATTTGTATTTTATTTTATTAATATTATTCATTTTAATTTTTGAGATGGTGTCCTACTGTGTTGCCCAGGCTGGTTTTGAACTCCTGGACCCAAAAGATTCACCTGCCTCAGTTACACAAGTAGCTAGATTGCAGGCTTGCCAAAACCTGGCTTGCTTTTTTTTTTTTTTTTGAGATGCTTGAGATTGAACCCAGAGTGTCATGCATGCTAGACAAGCACTCTACCACTGAGCCACATCCTCTAGCTCCTCATGACTTTCAAATTTCACAACATCCCTATGTGGAAGACAGTATTATTCCTATTTAAAGATCAAGCAAACAAAGGCACAGAGACGTTCTGTGACTTGCCTGCAGTCACACAGCTTGTACATGCTGGTGCTGGGATGCAAAGCCAGGCAGTGTAGACCCAGAGGCCTTAATGGTCATCATGGTGCACCTCTCAGGCAGGTGCACTGTTCCCCATCTGCCTGTCCCAACCCAGCACTTGTAATTCTAACAAAGGATAAATACATAAGCAGATTAAACGGGAACTATAATCTGCTCCAAATGGATCACTATTGGCCTATTCTGCATGTCCTTAAAGTCACTTTCTACATGCAGGTTTTTAGCTCAGTAGAAGAAGCCTCAAACAGAAAGTATTGTGTGATTGGAATTGGCCTTGAGATGAATTAAGTTCACTACCTTCCTATCATGCTTGGAGATGGAGCTTTGTATCTTCTCTGTCATTGCATTAATCAGAACAGAAGTCACTGCTGACCCTTAGTTCTTTCAAAGACACCAAGCCCACTTGTGGGGGTCTCACAGGCATAGTGTTTTGGACTACGGTTGGGATGATTATTTTTCTCGTGCCTTTTTGCAGCACACTCCCCCCTCGGTGATATCAGACTTATTCACAGACATCAGAAAGGGGCATGTCCTCCTGGACCTGTTAGAAGTGCTCTCAGGACAGCAGTTGGTAAGTTTTAAATGACACCAAGAAACTGTTCACTGATTTTTTAAAAAATGTATTTCCTATTTCTGAGTAACACGGTTGCTTGAATTTCGTAGCCGAGGGATAGAGGATCAAATACTTTCCAGTGTAGAATCAACATAGAACGCGCCCTGACATTCCTAAAGAAACGATCCGTGAGTATGGGTTCCACCCACGAGGTTGCAGAAATGACTAGTTCTGTGCTGTGCTTCCTCCTTGTAACCTGCCTTCCCTTTTTTCCCCAGATCAAGCTAATAAATATTCATGTTACTGATATCGTAGAAGGAAACCCATCCATTATTCTTGGCTTAATTTGGACAATTATACTGCACTTTCACGTAAGTCACTTTCATGTGCTAATGAAAATTACTTCTACTCTGGTTCTCACAATGTGAAATCAGAGCAGTGCAGCAAGTGTGACCTGAAGCTAGAGTCAACCCTGAGCTGCTTCCGTTACTGGGACACTCGAAATCTGGCACAGGGGGAAAATGTGCACCTGTGCTTTTTTCATTTTTGTTGTTTTTCAACTGGAAATTAATGCTAGCTGACCCTAATACTGAATTATCCATATTAATCTGCCCAGAATCTGGCTGGGAAATGTTTGCTTCTTATTGTTAAGTGTGGCAGAAGGATAGAAAGACTAAGTTTTGCAAAATTTCTCCCATTTTTGAGGAACCCCCTCATCCAATCTGACTTGAAATAATCTTGCAACGTCTAGCTCTGCCCCAAGACTAAATTGCAGATTTATTTCATTTCACAGAGATTTTTTTTTTGTCAGTACTGGGGTTTGAACTCAGGCCTTGCATTTGCTAGGCAGGTGCTTTACCATTTGAGCCACTCTTCCAGTCCTTTTTGCTCTAGTTATTTTGGAGATGGGGTCATGTCTTTATGCCTGTGATTCTCCTAAATAGGAGAAATATAAATATACTTCCCACATAGCTTGGATGAATGGCACTCACCACCAGGTCCCGCTGAGATGGGGTCTTGCAAACTTTTTGTCCAGGCTGGCCTTAAACTGTGACTCTGTACCTCCCAGGTAGCTGGGATTACAGGTGTGAGCATAGCTCGTTCCACACAGATTTTTGAGCACTTACTTATATAATAGCTATTATGCTAGGACACATCAAGATAATAGTGACAGTTATAGTCCTGACTTTATGAAACTTGTAATTGGCAAATGTTTTATTTGTTTATTTATTTACTTGTTTATTTATTTTTGGCAGTACTGGGGTTTGAACTCAGGGCCTCTTGTTTGCTAGGCAGGCGCTCTACCGTTTGAACCACTCTGCTAGTCCTTTTTTGTGATGATTTTTTTTTTTTTTTTTTTTTTTGAGATAGAGTCTTTTGAACTATTTGCCTGGGTTGGCTTTGAACTGTTCCTCTTGATCTCTGCCTCCTGAGTAGCTAGGATTACAGGTGTGAGCCGCTGGCACCTGGCCAAATATGTTCTTTTAGGCCTGGGATGCTGACTTAGTGCAAGTTTTTCTGCACTACCTAAAAAAATTGCATTTTCTATGTATGCATAATTACTGTGAAAATAACTTTAAAAATTATGTGGGGAAACACATGCTTATTGTAGAGAAACTAGAGTGTAGCACAACTGTCTAAAAGTTAGGACCTGGAAGCCTACACTATGTATTGTTTCTGGATGCAGACGTTTGTAGTTAAAATGAAATAATATGCTTGGGGTGATAAATTTAGGATTGTGGTTTTTTCCTCAGGAAAGAAGGGAAGTGGAATGGGAGAAGGAAAGACAACCAAATATAGCAAAAAATGTTAAAATTTGATAATTTGTGGCATTTATTGGTTTTTTTCCCCATACTTTCCTGGGTATTTTACATATAATTAAAAATTTCAATATAGGTAATGAAAATAAAATTTGTTCATACCCCATCACTCACAGATAACTACTGTAAGTAATTTGGTGTAAAATCTTAACGATTTTACACAGCAGGAATTAATATATATTCACATATGTACAGTTGGTCCTCTGTATCCACAGGTGGATTCAACCGAGTGAGAATTGAAAGTAATTTGGAAAATATCTGCATTTGTACCAAGCATGCGCAGATTCTTTATCCTCCTCCTCATCCTTTAAATAAAATAGTCTAGCAACTCTTTATCTGACATTTAGATTGTATTAGGTATTATCGGTAACCTCAGGGTGACTTCAAGCTCACAGGCAGGCCTAGGTTACACGCAGACACTGCCATTTTATGTAAGGGACTTGAGCATCTGCATATTTTGAATCTGAAGGGGATTTGGAATCTCCTCCACGGATACCAAGGGTTGACTACGTATCCTAAACAAACAGGAGTCATGCTGTTCATACTGTCTTCAGCCTGTTCTAATGAGTACCTTTTAAATTTATATACGTTTTACTGGAGACATGGTGTTTTCTGCAAAGTACTGTAGTTCATTAATGGATGTCAGATATTTACAGTTATTTCTGATTATAAGTAATTCCAAGAAGAATACCATCAAAACAGAACCTTTGAATGCACTTAGTTTCCATGGACCAAATCCTTAGAACTGGAATTGTACCATAGGGTTTGTAGCTTAAAAGCGCTTTTGTTTGTTTGCTTTAATATTTCAAGTAAACTTTTGATGAACTGTGACACACATAGAGAAAATTGTGCAAGTCTTAAGTACAGAGCTTGATGAATTTTCATGAATTAAACACACCCAGGATAAAATAACAGAGCTCTGACGGCATCCTCACTCACCTCTCCTAAAGAAAGCCACCCTTGGGTCCCTGTCATTGATTACTTTATCATCTTTAATTCCATAGAAGTGGGACTGGAAGTGTTTTCTGTCAAACACACTATGTGCTCTGTGTCTGAATTATTTCACTTAACATAGCGTCTGTGATAGTCAAGTTGTAACACATGTCTGGAGTGAACGTGCTGTCGTAGGAATGCAGCCTGGCTTATTTACCATTCTGGTGCTGATGCACCTTTCTTTTGTTGCCACTTTTTAGCTACTAGAATCCAGTTGCTAGGAACTTTCTTGTTTACACCTTTTAGTGGTCCAGGCCTTCATTTCCATCGTGTATTTATCGAGGAATGGAATTGCTCGTCTTACATTGGTGCTGCTCTAACAATACTACAGATTGGGTAACTGAGACATTGTGGTTCTGAAGGTTGGGAAATCCATGATCAAGAGGCCAGGGCTGAGAATGTAGATAGGTGACAGACTTTTTGTCCACGATGCATGAGACCCTGATAAGGACTCTGTACCATGTTTCTGTTTGTGCATTTGTCTTTTTTTTTTTTTTTTGGTGTGTTTTGATGGTACTAAGAGTTGAACTCAGAGCCTTGCACTTGCTAGGCAGACACCCTACAACTTGAGGCACTCCACCAGCCTGCATTTATCTGTTCAGTTTTGGATAGATATTATCACATGGTTCTCCAAAATATTTGTGTTACTGTCAACTTATGGTTCTCCAGTTTCACCATCATTGGATGAAATGTGTTTTCTTGTGTTATAGGAAACAAAACAAAACAAAACTGTCCTTTTGCTGTATTCACTTAGATTTTCTAAGTTTCTTATGGAGTGTACTAAGCGAGGATTTTGTTTTTGTTCTTGGGTCTTGTCTCTCTATGAGCTTGAGTATTCTTTTTTCTGTATATACATTTGCTCCTCACAGTTTATAATCAGGGATGCTTTTCAATTGATCCAGTCTCTCTTTAGAGGTTAGTGTAACTTGGTTTAGTGGGGCAGCCGTTGAGCTTCAGGACTGTGCTCTGTAGGTACCCTCTGTGGGTAAGATGAGGAAGCACCCCAGTGCAGACAAGGGAGCCGCAGTGCATCCCAGATGACAAATAATGTTACATGAGGATTTGGCCAGAGCTCATTACACCAAGAATAAACTGTCACTATTATGGGATACTTTCCAGGTCTTTTGGCTGGAGATTGTGACTCAAGGCTATTGACAATTTGTTAACAATTATGTTTCCTAGATCGAGAAGCTTGCCAGAACTCTTTCTTGCAACTACAGTCAACCTTCCCTGGATGGTGTGAACGTGGCTGATTCATCTCCTACCTCAAGTCCTCCAGCTAAGAAATGCTCCAAAGCCCAAGCAAGATGGCAGTTGTCTGCAAAGAAGGCTCTTCTTTTGTGGGCTCAGGAGCAATGTGCCACGTAAGTAGTGTGCTGTGAGCCACATAAGGAAGTTGTGGCTACCAACATACTGACTTTGAGGTCTGAAAATGAGGCTAACTGATATAACACCACCCAAACACCTTGTGCCACTAAGAGAAAAATTCTCACTAGCTCCCTTCATTTCACAGAGTGTCTTCCAAATGTGAAAGTTTATGAGCTTAACTATTTTTGGTTTCAAAGGCCAGAAGGTGGTCTTTCTAGGGACATCTGCTGCACTTGCTGTGTGCAGCTGGGTCGATCACTGTGGGAAAAGGAAGTGCCACTTAAATATCCTTTTCATTACGTTCCATTTCCTATGCAACTGAAAGGTGGATCTAGTTTTAAAAGCTTTGCTTTTATTTATTTATTTATTTGGCAGTACTGGGGTTTGAACTAAGGGCCTTGCACTTGCTAGGCAGATGCTCTGCCACTTGAACCACTCCACCAGCCATTTTTTGTGATGGGTTTTTTCAAGATAGGGTCTCAAGAACTGTTTGCCCTGGCTGGCTTCGAACCATGATCCTCCTGATCTCTGCCTCCTGAGTAGCTAGGATTACAGGCGTGAGCCACTGGCGCCTGGCCGTTTCGACATTTTTAAGTGTACAGTTGCACTGTCACTCAGTGTGTTGTTGTGCCATCATCACTGCTATCCATTGTGAGAACTTTTATCATCTTGCACAACTGAAACTGTCACTATTAAACAATCACCCTGTTCCTTCACACCAGCCTGTGGCAACCACCATTCTACTTTCTGTCCATGAACTTGACTTGTCTAGCTACCTTCATGAATGGAATCACACAGTATTTGTCCCTTCATGACTTATATCAGTCAGCACAGTGTCTTTTAATAGTCATCCATGGATCTCAGCATTGCCTTTCTTCTTAAGTCTGAGTAATATTCCATCGTATGTGTAGGCTGCTTTTTGTTTGGCCATTTATTCATGATGACAGATTTTAGACAGAGGAATAACAAAGTCTATCTGTCTAGTGAGTTACTAGCCGTGGATTTGGCCCAATGTATCATTTAGTTTGGTCCAGTAAGGAAAACGAACAAGACCCTGAACTGTTTGTAGAAGTCTAAAGTCAGTCTTGAGCCAACATATTGTTACATGAAGAGTTTCAAACTTGAGTATCATTGTCACTTGGCCTGTTTTCTAAGACACAAATTTCAGGCCCACCTGTAGAGTTGGATCCACTAGGTAGAGAGAAGGGCCTGGGAATTTGCGCTTCTAACGCCTGCAGCCCTGGTGATGTTGAGCCTGGAGCAGAGACTACACGTTGAATGTCAATGTTCTGTGGTTTTCTGAGTACCATCCAACTTGACCATGTACTTTTATTTGACAATAATATTAAAATATTTTTCCTAGAATGATTTCTATCATCAATTGATTCACTGGATTATGTTCTAATTGCTGCTGAGTACAGTGGAGGTGTTTTGTTGTTGTTCTTATTTATTTATTTTGTGGTGCTGGTGTTTGACTTGCTAAGCAGGTGCTCTGCCACTTGAGCCATTCTGACAGCCCTGTTTTGTGTTGGGTATTTTCGAGATATGTCCTTCAGAACTATGGGGCTGGCTTTGAACTGCGATCTTCCTGATCTCTGCCTCCTGAGTAACTAGGATTACTGTTGTGAGGCACTAGTGCCAGGCCAGTAGAGGTGTTTTGATGCACTGTTTTTACCAGTATGTGTCATGTCCTTTTGTGGCAGGTATGAGTCTGTCAGTGTGACAGATTTTAAGTCAAGCTGGAGAAATGGCATGGCTTTTTTGGCCGTCATTCATGCCTTGCGACCAGACCTAATTGACATGACGAATGTGACACATAGATCCAACAAGGACAATCTGAAAGAGGCCTTCAGAATTGCAGAACGAGAACTAAAAATTCCCAAATTACTGGAACCAGAAGGTAAAGAGTCTACTTTTTTTTTTAAAGGATTTTTATTTTAAGGTCCAGCATGAAGTAGATTTGAAAATAGTATCTATAAAAGCAAACATAACAATACTGTATTTTAGTCCTGGAGGGTTTCACTTAAACTCTTTATTGAATTTCATGGAGTTAGGAATTCTTATCAATTAGTTAACTTCAGTAATTGCAGGGGTGAACTACAGCTGAGTGCAAACAGTGCTTTCATGGGGATAATTTGAACCTTTGTCTTAATTTCCTTCCATTGTGTTCTGTGTTGTGTTCTTGATTCTGTTGTTTCTGTGCTAAGTCTCCCATATAAGATGTTTCTTGAGTCTTGAGTTAAAATTGTTATCTCTCTACTCTTACTCTGTCCTCCTGGTGACAGTGGAGAGACCACTGATCTCTCTGCTCTCCTTCTATGGCTGGCCAAGCTCTGCCACTCATTCTGCTTGGTCTGTTGTGTTGGATTCCTAAGAACAACAAGAAAACCCTACATGCTGCACTGGTTATATTCACAGAGATCCTCATCAAGTTATCAGTTATTTTAACGATTAAAAATAATTTCTTTCTGAAAGGCTCTTTAGTGTGCGTTGTATTTCCCACAAACAATACATATTATTTCTGTGTGTTGCTACTGAAAATATTAAAGTTATAAAACAGGAAAAAAATTTTTAAAAAAATCAGTAGACATGTATAACCCCAAAGCATAGACAATAGTAAAATGTAGCATAATAATTGGGACGTGATAAGTTTTGAGTATTTATCATTGTGTATTTATATGATTTATTATATTTTTTGTGGCATGAGGTTTGAACTCAGGGCCTTGCACTTGCAAGACAAGCTCTCCATCACTTTCCTAATGATAAACTCCTGTGGGGAAGATAATGTTTTAGGACATCTGGCATCTATTTATTGAATGAATAAAGGGATGAATCAGAAGGTCTCTGTAGATGAGGACAGTACCTTATGTGTCCTTATAGCCCCTGCCGGTTCCATTTGTTAACTCTCTATAAATAGTTATTGCACTGAGTTTAACTGAATTCATAGAGAAGATTTCTGTTTCAATAATCTATATTGTTTTGACAAAATACAGCCATCCCTAAATTATCTTATCTATGACGTTTATATGCCCTTCTTTGTGATTTTATGATCCACTTAGTTTTATTATATGCCTGCAGAAGTCCTGTACATAAAGAATTTAAATTTTAAATCATTTTAACCCTGAGTAACTCTGCATTTCTCAAACTTATTTCATTGTGAGACTCAAGACTTTGTGCTTGAACCACCTCTCCATTTTTGCTCAGGTTATTTTGGAGATGGGGGTCTCTCGAACTATTTGCCTGGGCTAGCTTTGAACTATGATCTTCCAGATCTCAGCCTTCCAAGTAGCTGGGATTATGGTTGTGAGCCACTGGCACCCAGCTCATTGCTGTGGACTCTTTTAATGCAAAACAAAGCCTGTCCCATAGAAGGCTCTTGGTATGCTAATTTATTTATTCCATGAATGAGTGAATAAACTCATGACTGTCTTAAACGAGTGTTCCCTATAACTTCCTTGTATACTTTTGGAGATGCTTTATTGCACAAATGCCTAGAGCAAGCAGTGTGGGGTACCAATTCCAGTTGCTGTATGTTCCTGTTCTCCTGGACGAATTTCTGCACCATGTCTTCATGCTCTAAACTGCTTCTGTCCTCACAAATACAACAGCTGTAAAAACACTTCATTACTAGGAAACTGAGGCTATGCATGGACCATGCTGGGATTCCACCCACATCTCTCTGACTCCAGGTGTAAGCTCAACATCTGTCAGGCTTGCAGCCAGGAAGAGCAAGCAGAGACTTGCATGGCTAGTCAACTACTTTGGTTCATTAAAAGCCCAGGAGCTCAAGACAGAGGCTATGGCATAGCTTGTTCCTGGGTGTTAGTGAAAGGAAAGTGTGCAAGCTGACTGATAGTGTGGTGTGTCTTGCAGACGTGGATGTTGTTGATCCTGATGAAAAGTCTATCATGACCTATGTGGCACAGTTCCTGCAGTATTCAAAGGATGGCCCTGGGACTGTCGAGGGGGCTCAGGTATGTCTCATAGCTACAACCCTAGCTTATTTTTTTTGTACACTACTAGTGGTTTAATTTGAGGTATAAATTGCATACAGAACATAAAGGTATAGTTTATTGAGTTTTGACTAATGCATACACCAATGTAAAACACGCTCTAATTTTGAAATCATGATGTAAGCATTGTTATTACCCATAATGTCCCAGCATGCCTTTTTCTTGCTTTTACTACTCATCCCAGGCAACCAGTATTCTAATTTCTTTCACTGTAATTAGTCTACTTTTTAAAAATTAAAAGTGATAATTTATCACAATTTTTAGATAGGCCCTATGTTAGTTTTGCATTACTGGAATGAATTTGTGAGATAATCAGCTTATAAAGAGAAAAGGTTGCCAGGTGTGGTGCATACCTGCAATCCCAGCACTGGGGAAGTTAAGGCAGGAGGACTGAAAGTTTGAGACTAGCCTGGGCTGTGTATTGAGTTTGAGGTAAGCTAGGGTTACATAGCCAAACCCTGCCTCAAAAAAGAGAGAGTAGGGAGAGAGGAAGGTTGGAGATACAGAGAGAGAGAGAGAGAGAGAGAGAGAGAGAGAGAGAATGTTTAATTTTAGCTCACAGTTTTAGACATTTCAGTCCAGTTATTTGGCCCTTTGTCTTTTGGGCCCGTGGTTAGGTGGCACTTCAGGATAGGGTTCCTGTGGCAGAGTAAAGCCATTCACCTGATGGCTGGGAAGAGAAATGAGAATGAGGAAGCTCCTGGGGTTCTGCAGTCCTCTTTGAGAGTGCACTCCCACTGACCTAAAACCTCCCACCAAGCCTACCTCTTACAGTTTCCTTTCACCAGTGCCCCAATCCGGGGCTCAAGTCTTTAACACAGGCCTTTCAGTGATCAAGATAGAAATCAGAGCAGGCACTATATAGGAGCAATTGAGTTAAGCTAGTTGTTAAACAATTTTAGAGATATCAAATTTTTTCTATTATAACTTCTATTTGCTTTATTGAAATATAATTCACATATCATAAAGTCCAACTACTTAATGTAGACAGTTTGCAGTGTTTTTAGTGTCCTTATGTGATTGTGCCACCATTACCACTGAATTTTAGCCCACTTCCATTTTGCCTTTAGTTTCATATAAATGGAATTGGACAACTCATAAATGGAAACATTGTGTTGCACTGTTGATCCTTCTTTGTTGAGATGTTCTTGAATGACTGTTAGATTGCTATTCGATTGTTCGATTTTTCCCTTTCACTTTCAGCCAGTTATACAAAATGTGGCTAGAAATTTCATAAAAGTCACTGAACTGTAAGCAACTGTTTCTCTGCTTCTATGAAGACAAATGCATGATGTGAATGTTGTAAAATGTTCAGCAATATTCTTTTCAAGTTTATTCTCCACTGCTTTCTCAGACATGTTTACATGTACTTTGTTTGACAAGCGGGGCTGTGTTTTTCCAGCTGTTATGTTCCAGGCCAAAGCCCAGTTCTTGCAGACTCTGGAAGTGACACTCAAGCTGAGATCCAGTTTATAATTCAGTTCACTGATTTCTGACCTGCTGAGGGGCTACTTTTTTCTTATTAATTTTCACATCCAAAATAAAGCCAACTGTCCATGAAATTAGATGCAAAAATTTAGAAACATTCTTGCTTACTAGAGAAAGAAAGGAAATGAAGGTTAAAGAATAAGCTGGGCACCAGTGGCTCATGTCTGTAATCCTAGCTACTCAAGAGGCAGAGATCAGGATTGAGGTTCGACACCAGCCTGGGCACATAATTCTCAAGACCCTATCTTGAAAATATTCAACACAAAAGAGGACTGACAGAGTGGCTCATGTGGTAGAGTGCCCGCCTAGCCAGTGTGAGGCTCTGGGTTCAAACCTCAGTACCACTACCAAAAGGAGGAGACTAGAAATAAGGTGTAACTTCTGCTTTATCAGTTAACAACAGAATCTGCTTCCAAATGCAAGCAAGCTTAGCTCCTCAGCAAGAATCTAAGAAAAAAATATGCATTTGCTCACTTCTATATGATAGCATATCCAAAAAAATAGTGTTATTTTAGGCTCTTAAAATGTTCAAGATGTTTTTGATGTTAGTGTTTTTGGGAGGAGGGAATGAACCTCTCTTGGATTACCCCTATGTTGATATATTGAAAAACAGTTTTATAAAATGTCAACTATAAAGTGATTTAGAAAAGTGTTCCCTAAAATTGAAGAATAATGGAAATAAGCCCCCTCAAAGGAAGTTGCTTGCTTTTTTTTCTTTAAGTACATTATGATGTTCAGAGGTTAGTTTCAATCTATTTTAAGTTTAAGGTGTTATTACAAACACACAAAATCACCCTTTGGCAGAGTGAGTCACTGCTGTGTAATGATGACACTATTTCACTGGTTTTTAAGTTGTTAATTTTATTGTTAAATCACCAAGTTTCTTTAGGATATAGTTTAAGTGTCTTTGTATGTGTGTGTGTGTGTGTGTATTACAGGACAAGGTGAAAGAAGCTATGGTCTGGCTTACTCTGCAAGAGAAAAAACTACAGAAGGCACTAACAGATTCAGAAAATGAGACCTACTTTACAAAATACCATGTAAGTATGACTTTATTTATTTATTTATTTTGGTGGCACTGGGCTTTGAACTCAGGGCCTCCTGCTTGCTAGGCAGGCACTCTTACCTCTTGAGCCACTTCAGCAGCCCAAGTATGGCTTTAAACACCTATCTGTACTCTTTTAGAGAAGTACATTTTTAGGAAACTCTTGGAGTCAAATATTTAAAATGTCAAACCAACTCCAGGTCTTAAGGCTCAATTCTAGGACTTAAACGTGCACCTGAATCCCTGAGTAATCTGGTTAAAATACATGTTCAGATTCAGTGGTTCTGGGGTGGGGCCTGAGATGCCACATTTCTGACAGGGGGGCCCCTGGTGACTTTGCTACTACTGGTCCTTGGAGTACTTTGAACAGCAAGGTTGTACATCAAGGGTCAGCAAAACTTCGCCCATGAATCCTGACACCTCTTTTGTAACTAAAATGATGCTGGAACAGAGCCATGCCCACTTAAGAACTGTCTGTAGATATTTTCATTCTGCAATCCTAGAGTGAGTTTTGTGAGAGAGACCAGATGGCTCAGAAAGCCTCAGACATTTGTTATCTTGCCCCTTACGGTAAAAGGTTGAAAAGAAAAATCAGGAAGTCAGCAATGGGACACTCCAGAATTACAGTACAAGTCCTCAACCAAGAAGTCCTTTGGGGAATAATAACGACCATTATTATGGCCCTATAGGAAGCGTTTGCTATGGAGCAAGCTCCTTGTGATAAGCATTGTACAGGCTCAGCCCTCTTTCAGAGTTTGGTGTTATTATTTCAGTTTTTCAGAGAAGACAGTAAGAGGACTAAATGATTTATCTAATGTTACATAGCTACTGAGAGGTAGGGGTTGAATAGGGACCTAGATTGAAAGTCCTAGCTGTTTATAACCCTGTGGCTGTCCCAAGGTAAGTAGTTATTTGCTGTACAGTCTTGAAGGAACCAAAGGAAGATTTCTCAGTCCTGTTTCTTAGAACCAATTCTGAGTTTCCATAGCTAACCTTCAAAGGATTGTGTGACTTTCGGCCACACCTTCCTATTTGGCTTGAAGCTATCAAGATAGGAAGGGACCAGACACTCTCATCTTTCTTTGGTTTGTACAGCAGATTCATGTCTTCTTCACCCTTAGTTTTATCTGAGATTCTTTTTATTGGTAAGATGCTCAGTGTTAGTGGAAATGCCTTGTTCGTGCATAATTTAGTAATGTATCATAGATACATGTTTCTGAAATGAAAGGATTTATGAAGTTATTAATTATCAGATTTGGAAAAAAGTATCCCAGTTTACTGTGTTGAGTTGGCATTGTACAGAAATTAATAGCCATATTGGTCTAGAAACGTTAAACTTAATTTTTTTTCCATTTGAACAGGGGTAATGCACTGTATTAAATATGTAAGGTCTTATCTACGTGGGTTTGATTACAGAAACTAATAAAGTATTCTCTAAATAATGAAAAAAGATTAATTATCAGAAAGAAGAGAATAAATTATTGTTTCTTGGTTTATACTTTTTCTTTTTTTTGAGACTGGGTCTCACTATTTTGCCCAGCTTATCCTTGAAGTTCTGATTCTTCCTCCTCAACCTCAAATAGCTGGGACTATAGGCCTGCACCAATATATCCAGCTCACATAAAATATAATTAGAAACATTTTCAGTAATTATATACTGCTTTCAATAATACTTATGAAATGAGTAACTCATAAATAATAACATAGCTCACAAATGTAAAAGCTTTAAAGCTTTTTTTAATAAAAATTTGAGGGGAGGGAGAGTGTTTTTTAGTCTATATACAGTGAGTTGGGAAGAACTGGCTCAAGCTCAGTTAATCTTAAACTCATTGAAAGTCATTTCTGCAAGACACCTGCTGTGGTGTACTTCTCATGCCTACTCATTCTTACTTTGTTCTGAATGCATATTTGGGGAGGACAAACCAATGGACACTTTGTCCTCTAGAGTCAGCTGGCCTTGACACTCCATTCCAGTAGAAATCCAACATTACTGATGGGTCGTAAGCCGAGACTTACGTTTCATTTATGCTGGGACCCAGATGTAAGGGTACACTCAAGAAAGAAATCAGATCAGAGAGAGGATACTGAATTCAAGGATTTTATCTTTGTCTAAGTCAAAATTTAAAAATAACCTGTAGCTGTAGACCTCAAAATAGCAAGTTCTATTTTATAAATGGAATTAAACATTTCAGTCTTAAAATACTCTTCTAATTGTAGAGCCTGCTGACCTTTATGGAGTCGTTCAATGAAGAAAAAAAATCCTTCCTGGATGTCTTGTCACTCGAAGGGGATCTGAATGAGAGTGAAGACCAGCTCCAGCTGAGGGAAGGCTGGAAAGGCCTCCACCACCAGGTTGCTTGTGTTATGTTGTTAGAAGAATGTTTTTATAGGGATCTTTGTTGTGTTGAAGATTTTACTCTAGACTTCCATAAGGAATTCTGTGAACGACAGCGAGGTGCTTCATTGGAAAATGGAATAATGTTCTTATATTTTTGGAGAGTAGTTAGATTTTTAAAAGGAATTTTTAGCAGCAAGCATATCTGAAGTTGTAATGCTGTCCCTTCTTGGTGTGCCTTGGTGAACTGTATATATTTTGTCACCGTAGATGATTCTTTTTTTTTTTTTTGGTTGACCTTCAGCCTCTCCTGCCATCACATGTCAATATCAATTGACACTTGAAAGAGGTGATAAACCCAGAAATCGTGTGTAAAGAAGGGTGGGTGTGTCTGTGTCTGACTACATCTGTATGGTTTTCACCTTTTTTAATTTATTAAGACTTGGTTTATGGCTCAGCATCTGGTATAGAGCCACGTGCATTTGAAAAGAATGTGTATTCTGCAATTATTGGGCATAATATTCTATCAATAGCAATTAAGATAAGGTGGTTGATAGTGTTGTTCAGATTATCTCTGTCTTGACTGGCGTTTTGTCCAGTTGTTCTGTCATCTTCTGAGAGAGATATGTTAAAATCTGTGGAAATTTCTCTTTAATTCTGTCAATTTTTTTCTTCATGTATTTTAAAACTTTATGTTTAAGATTCATGATTGTTTTATTTCTTCCATTTTTGTGTATCCATTCCTTCCTTTCTTGCCTTGTTTGAATTGTTAGTGTTTTTCTTCCTTATAGAATTTCATTTTAATTTGTCTATTGACTTTTTGATCTTATCTCTTCCTGTCTTTTTTTTTTTTTTGACTGCACTGGGCTTTGAACTCAGGGCCTTGTACTTACTAGGGAGGCGCTCTACCACTTGAGCCACTCTTCTAGCCCTTTTTTGTGATAGGTTTTTTCAAGATAAGGTCTCCAGAACTATTTGCCCAGGGCTGGTTTTGAACTACAATTCTCCTAATCTCTGCTTCCTGAATAGCTAAGATTATAGGATGAACTACCTGCACTCAGATCTGGTCATGTTTTTAGTGGTTGTTCTAGGGATTACAAAATACATTCTAAATATTTTACGGTCTATTTAGAATTCTGCAGTTTCTTTTAACATGTAAAATGCTTGCAATGAAACTGATTCATTTACCTCCCATTCTTTATGAGGTTTTATATATAAATAAATGCAAGTGTATGAAGTATGTGACACAAACATATGCTTGAAAGTCCCCAAGACTGTGTTATAATTTTTTTGCCTTCAGCAACCAGTTTTTATTTTATTTTTATGAGCATAAATTAATTGTACCAAGGGGTTTCGTTGTGCTATTTTCATGCAAGCATATAATGTACTTTGATGAAATTAACCCTTTCTATTTCTGTTCCTTAACTTCTGTCTCCTCTCCCCTTTTGTTCAACAGTTTTAAGTGGGTTTCATGGTGCTGTTTTCAAACATATATGTATGTAACCATATATTTTAAGAGGAAAATTGTCCTTCATATTCAGCTAGAGATTGACATTTCTAATTTTTCCTTTAGATTTTGTTCCCTTTGAGCTCATTTCCCATATGCCTAAAAACTCCCTCCAACTCTATCTTATAATTTGCTAAGCTTTCTTTGGTCTCTAAATGTCTTTTATTTTGCCTTCTTTTTTGGCGGTACTGGGGTTTGAACTCAGGGATTCAGGGCCATGCTTGCTAGGCAGGAGACACTCTACAACTCAATGCATACCCTCCAGCCTTTCCTTTGTAAAGAAAACAACTTTACTGAGGTATAATTTACAAATCACAAAAGTCACTCATTTTAAATAGATAATGAGATGATTTTTAATAATTTATAGGGAGATTGTATGGCTTACAAAATCCTAATTTCTTGCCCTAGTCTTACCCAGGAAGCAAACGTTAGCTAACCCCACTTGGCTGTCAGGAGTGCGAACCTGTTTTCAGAATACGTTTTCTGCACGGTTTATGTCCTATGGCACATACTTGTCCAGTGGCTTATGGTGGACCTAGTTTTGAGGAACTGGTGCAGCTCCAGGAGTCTTTCCACTGGTGGCGGTCAGCACCTGCCCATCACAGCTTCCAACATGATTCTTGTAAAGGGACAAGAGCTATCTGTGACAGGTCCTTAACAACGCAAGTGTCAATGAAGAAGATATTGTCTGCACAGTTCAGACTGTTCCAGGCCACAGAGACCTGGCCTAATTTTGCAGAATATGGTTTGGAAGAATTACTAGAAATAATGAGAAAAGCACAAAAAGAATTATCGTGCCAGTGTAAGTGCTGCAAATTGGTGATATCATGGAAATCTGTTCTTCAGTCAGGTAGGCCAAAGCTCATTTTCTCTGTGTGGCAAAGGGAGATGTACTAATTTTAAAGTCATCAGGTGTATAAAGGTTAATACCATCTAGACAGTTTCTGCTTCAGTAGGATACAGATGTCCTTAAGTACCTAGTAAATGGTTTCATTTTAAGCCTGCCTCAGACAATAGTAACATTATCTGATTTTGACTTGGTAAGATCTTGTATCAATTTTCAGCCAAATTCAAAATGGTCTGAGAAAGGAAGTGTGAAACAGTTTTCTATGTTAGGTGAGAAAGGAGAGGAGTGAGGGTAAATGTTACTTCTGTTTTTTTCTCTTCTGGATGCTACATAAATATTTTGAGTGTGGAGTTAGAAAGTACAAATTTGGTTTTGTTCAAAATGTAGACAACTTTCTTCTAGTTGTCAAGGAATTATAACTGAATTAGAGCTGTTATTCTTAGCCTCTCTTTCATTCAGGTTATGATTTTTTTATTTCTTGGCAAATACACAAACCATTAGATATAATAAAAGCACATGATATTTATATTAAGTTTATTATGCAAATATTTTGATTCTTCTTCAACTTGTTTCTTAATGTCATGTACTTGGTGATCTGAAATTGTGAATTTGTCTTTGCCAAATGTACTTTGAAAAAATAAACTTGCAAGGCAAAAAAAAAGGGTAAAACAAAATGGAAAAACTATAAAAGTTAACACTCTATTGTATGCATACACTGGAGTGCCTTTAAGGATCCTAGCTATTTCTTCTTTTTTTGGTGGTACTGGGGTTTGAACTCAGGGCCACACACTTGCTAGGCAGTTGCTCTACCACTTGAGCCACTCCACCAGCCGTGTGTGTGTGTGTGTGTGTGTGTGTGTGTATGTATGTATGTATGTATGTATGTATGTATGTATGTGTGTGTGTGTTGGGTATTTTTGAGATAAGGTCTGGCTAGGGCTGGCTTCAAACCTCTTTCCTCCTGACCTCTGCCTCCTGAGTAGCTAGGATAACAGTAGTGAGTCACCAGCACCTTACTCCTCCTCCTTCTCCTCCCCCCTCCTTTTTACTTTTTTTTTCTTTGCAGAGTTGTGCTGTCAGTGAGCTATGCCCCCAACCCCTGTTCTCATTTTGTGTATTTGAATAGTTGGTTAAATGTCCTTTAGCTTTTTGCTTTACATATATTGGGCACCCAATAAATGCTTTTGAATTAATAATAAATCAAATAGGGCTGGTGGAGTGGCTCAAGTGGTAAAGCCTTGCAAGCATGAGGCCCTGAGTTCAAACCTCAGTACTGCCAAAAAAAAAAAAATCAATCTATGCAATACACATATTGTTTACTCTTTCCCCTAATTAAAAACAATTGAGCCATAGGAATAGTTATGATTCATTTTGAGTAGAACTAGGTCACAGAAAATGAAAATATAGATTATACACTCATCAAAGGAAGTTCCATGAGTGAAACAGATTTTGGTTGGTTCTTGGTTCTCACAATGGTGTCTTTTGGATGAGAATTGCCATAAAAGTAGCGAATGGGTTTGTGGCTAGAAAGTCACATTGTCATTGAGCCAGTGTGGTTGTTAGGAAAGGAGATGACCTTGGAGGTGACCACAGTCTAGTATTCCTCTGCACCCTCTCCCGGGCTCTGTTACACCACTTGCCACACTTGACCACAGCTGTATCCTTGTCTTCCTCTCCTGATTGCTTGCTGAGGCTTTTATTTTTCTGGTTGAGCCTCTGGTTAGGGAGTTGCTGCTAAACTTTACTCTTAGCCATGCACTGGTTGCTCACACCTGATCCTAGCTACATGGGAGGCTGAGATCCAGAGAATTGAGGTTTGAAGCCAGCCTGGGTGAACAGTTCAAGAGACCCCATCTCCAAAATAAATAGAACAAAATGGACTGAGGTGTGGCTCAAACAGGAGAGCACCTGCTTTGCAAATGCAAACCCCGAATTCAAACTCCAGTCCTACCAAAAAAAACAAAACAAAAGAAAAAAATACTCTTCCATTCATACCTGGCACATAGGCTGGGCCAGGCCCGCTCTAGTTTTTATTTGTTTGTTATTGTATGTTTGTTTCTTTTTAATACTCATTTCCGTTTGTTTCTATGTCCATCATTTTGAACTGTTTAGTGTGTGTCTTTTTGCTTCATATGTCTTTGTAAAATACACATTAAATGTATGTGCCAATGTATTTTTAAATTCTGTAAATTGAAGTTCTATGTTGTTTATTTAATTTTTGAGAACACTGTATGTAAGGCACCTCCACATTCTGCAGGGGGGGTGACCACATGCCCCCTAGAAGCCTGGGCTCTTTCACACTGGGTTGCTTGTAAGTGTTTGCTCATGAAGGAATGAATGATTGTATGAATGAAGAGTTTCCATGATGTTTAGACTGGAGGAAAATCCTGGTAGAAGAAGTCATTGGGGAATGTGTGACTCAGGTGCCTGTGGGGAGTGGCAGGCAGGCTGAGGAAGGAAGAGGTGTGCCTGGTTTGCAGCAGGGTTTGGTGAAGGACAGATATTAAGAGATAAGTTGAGATATCTATGTGAACATATGTTCACATATGTAAAGAGCAGTAAAGAGAATAATCTCTAAATCTCTGTGGCAAGTAGAGTTCCAGTATCAAAGAGCACAGGGACATAAGGCCTTGTGAACAGTAGTATAAGGTCATACCACTCCATTTTAGAGGAATGCTTTAAATATTTCAAATAATGCTTTCAATAAACATTTTAGAGGACTGGACTGCATAGAATTTACAGGTTTACCCAAAATTTGTGCTTTTGAACAAATTATATTCTGGATTAGCAATTAGCAAAATTATATTTAGAACTAAGAAGATTGCCCATTTATTAGTCTTGGCTTTCAGAGAAATCTTAATGAATTAAACATACTGTACATGAAGAAATAAGCGAGGTGAACCCTGCTGAAGCCATCTTCCCTTATTTTCAGATTAACGTCTGGGAAAGACAGCTGAATGACGCCTTGCCCTTACCCCTCCGTGAAATCGAGGTGTGGCTCCGGGAGGTGGAGGAGCTCATGGAGGAAGAAATGCCAGCCTCCCAGAGTTACTCGGAAGCCATGACTCTAACCCAAGAGAAAATGACTTTATTCAAGGTTGGAAAAGAAAAAGAGACATGGAGCAATCAAACCTGTGTTAGGGACTGTTCTTGAGGAAGATTTGGTCGTAGGGAAGCAAGGGAGGGTGGTGTAGGGTGATCCCCTGGGATTTGAAAGTTTATGAACATTTTGCTTCTCCCAGGTTGAAACAATAGGATACGATCCAGTAACTTCCAAAACCACAACAAACTCTGACCAAAACAAAAGGCTGGTGTTGGGAGGTGGGGGAGGCTAGTTTAAAACGAGGGAGATTGAGTTCTCACTAAAATGGTATGGAAGAATTTGATGCATAAGATTAAAAGCCCCCAAAGGAATGAGGCGTAATAGAAAAAACCTCCCAAAATTTTGATAATGGTTTACCAAAGAAACTATAGTCTGCTTCATTTGTAAAAAGTTCCAGTTTAAAATATTTATGTTGCTGGTGGAATGGCTCAAGCGGTAAGAGCACCTGCCCAGCAAGCACTGAGGTCCTGAGTTCACACCCCTGTACTTCCAAAACAAGAAAACCCCCATAAAACATTTATGCTGCTGGGCGCTGGTGGCTCATGCCTGTCATCCTAGTTACCCAAGAGGCATAGATCAGGAGGATCATGGTTTGAAGCCAGCCCAGGCAAGTAGTTCATGAGACTCTATCTTAAAAAACCCCTCACAAAAAAAGGGCTGGTGGAGTGGCTCAAGGTGTAGACCCTGAGTGCAAGGCTCAGTACTGCAAAAAAAAAAAAAAAAATATATATATATATATACACACACACGTACATGTTAAAATATATATTCACAAATCTAATAAAGAAACAGGCTTTTTGACTTCTTTTGAGAAAAGGACCTAATATGAATGGGGTGAAGGCTCCCTCAGTTATAGCATTGGACGATAAATCTGCTTTATGTTGGCTATATTTCTTTCAGAGTCTGATGGACAGATTGGACTACCATTCAAATATTCTGTTGTCCTTTGAAAATAAAGATGAAAAACACTTGCCACTGGTGCCACCCAAGAAACTGGAGGAAATGAAAAGACGGTTGGTCGCACTTCCACCTCACAGCCGCTGGCTCTGATCATGTTTCAGCAATCACAGGATGTCTCAGGGATCACAAAAGTGCAGATTCATAGATAATTTCTGACAAGTATCCGATTTGAAATCTTGATATCAATACCTTCATGTGTTGGTGTCCTAGTAACACTGTACATGGCAGCATCCAGTTTTTATTGAGTGATGGAGTACTGTGATGTAAGCTCTGTGTTTTTAAGCATGTTTGCTCATTTGTAAATGGAGGATAATGACAGTCACATTGTCCATGTCTCATGAGGATACTGGATTGAACATGAGCAGGCATATGCAAGCACTTTATAAACTCAAATATAGAGCTATTCACTTGATGGCCTTTCACGTCATTTCTTTTCTTCTAATCACTAACTTATCGAATAATAAGAGGAGGTTAGCTTTCATAATAAAATGGTTTTACTATGTAAAGTTTTAATTGGGCTGCCACGGGTGGCTCACACCTATAATCCTAGCTACTTGGGAGGCTGAGATCAGGAGGATCTACTAAAGAACTAGAGCAAAATGGACTGGAGGTGTGGCTCAGAGGTAGAGTGCCTGCTTTGCAAAAAGTGTGAAGCTGTGAGTCCCACCAAAAAAAATAATAAATTTTTTAAAAAAGATAGTTGTATAGAAGTTTTCAAATTTCCTAATTTTTTTTAACCTTAGAAATAGTTGTTTTATATCTTGCTACAGTGCTTGTTTTACATTATATTAAAAGAGAAAGAAGCCCCAGCTCTTGAGGATGCAGCTGAGTTCCATGAGTTTGAAATAGTCAGCATCTCAATATTTTTTAAGATGCCAAACACATTTCTCACATTTGGTCAATTGGATTCAGTTAAATTTCTAAAACATGCACTTTTTATTTTTTTCCCCAGGATCAACAACATTTTGGAAAAGAAATTCATTCCACGTCTAGAATTCCATTACTATGAGTGCTCAGTTCTGGGTTTGCTAGATGAAGTGCAATCAAAGTTGGATGTCTGGAACGTCAAATATGGAAACAAAGAATCGGTGGAGTTACTGCTGGAGGACTGGCGTGTAAGCTGCAGTTATCCTGTGTCCTGGCAACATTTTCCATGTCTGAGTGCTGGACTTGCATTTTTCTTTGGCACAGTTTCTCAGTAACTGTTCAGATTTGGGGATGCTTTTTGTTGTTAACTCTCATTAGCTTCAATATTGCCTGGAGAAAAGAATTACAGGTAGTCACATAGCAGGCATAGGGAGGGACGAGAAAGACAAGACAGCGTTATTTAGAAGACTGAGTAAAATATAGTAGAGAAGGTGGTGATGTTTTTTCACTTACTCAAAATTTGTTTTCTATTTAAAACTTTTCCAACTCAAGATTTCATTTAAGAATTTTTTTTTAGAACATTTTGTCTTAGCTCCCAAGTTTTAGTAGGAAACAGTGCATTTTTAGGAAAACTGTTTTAAGAGATTTAAATTTATAGGAATGTCCAGGCCTAACCTAAACCTGAAGCATCACAGAACTGTCCCCTCTTCAGCTGGGGCTTAGCCTTCTTTCTCCTTCCCTGTTGTTGGAAATGAGAGGTGAAAATGAAAAATCCAAATTGTAAATTTCATTGTAAAAATTGTAAAACATGATGATGAAAAATTTTTATAATTTAAACACTGTATGTTCCCAGGTAGGAAACATCATTTTAAATTGGTCTAGATTTTTGAGGGTTTTTTTCAAATTTATTTAGCTTGTTTTGAATTTTCATTTTTTGATTTAAGTAATCATAGTAGTTCGCTGGCACAAAATGAATGTATAATAGATGAGTTTTGAATTAGCTTTGTATTTTGCCATCACAGAATTTGGTTAATGGTAGTTTCCAAAAGGTTATAGGATTTGAACTCAGGGCCTCACACTAGCTAGGCAGGCACTCAACACCTTGCACCACTTCACCAGCTCTTTTTTATGAAGGGTTTTTCAATATAGAGTCTTTCAAACTATTTGCCCAGGCTGGCTTCAAATCTCAATCTTCCACATCTCTGCCTCCTGAGTAGCTAGGATTATAGGCGTGAGCCACAGGCACCTGGCCCAAAATGGTTTTTGTGTGGTAGATGATAGGTGTTTATAACATACCCTAATATATCTAATAAAAACTTACTAATATTTATAAAACATGAAGAGTAACTTAGACGAGTATGCAATATTAGTAAAATATACGCTCTATGAGATTTTGAAATTGCTGTAGTTAACTTACTTTTTCCCACGAGAGGGAAACCACTGTAGAGCCATATCACCTCACATAATATCCATCTCATCAGATGTCACATGTGTATTTTGGCACACTCACATCTCCCAAGCCTTAACTATCCTTCATGAACTACCCAAATGTGTCGTATCCTAGTATTAAAGAGGTTTTGGCAACTACGTGCCTCAATCAGCATCTTCATGGATTTCTTGGCATATTTTTAAGATAAAAACTGTCACTATTTCTTCCTTTGCGTTGCAGAATTTTATTGAAGAAAAAGAGTTCCTAGCTCAACTTGATACCTCTTTTCAAAGATGTGGAGAAGTTTTTAAGAACTTGGGTAAAGTAGTCCAGTTCATTTTTGACAGAGTGACCTTCACTTAAAGATGACATTTTCTTTCTTTATATTTTATTACTTGAATATTTTCCTTGGACAATTCTTGCTTGTACTTTTGATCGAGCATGTTTATTTTGCTGCTGGAATAGCTTTCTTCACTGTGCTTGTTCATTAACACAAACTGTTTTCTAAGACTTCTTTCTCGTTTTGCTAACGTTGTAGCTGGAGAGTGTGAGAATCTTAACGAACAATACGTGATGATGGAACACAGTATCTGTGTGTACAGGAAAAACATATGTGATGTGAAGTCTACCCTGCAGAAGGTGCTGGCGTGGTGGGCCATGTATGTGGAAAACCTTCGCTTACTGAAGACTTGTTTTGAGGAAACAAAGAAAGAACAAATTAAAGAGGTATTTGTAGCCCAGTGACACCTTCTCAATGGTACTTTTCAATTTCCTTTTGGTTAGAGGCTCATTTTTGCTTCTAAGATGAGAGTGTAAAGGACAGTGAACATGTCTTTGGGAAAACTCTCTGAAGTCTTCCTAATTGCCAAAAAAGGACACTTCCTCCACACTATAGGTTTTATACACACTCACCCCAACATGCATGCATGCATGCACACACACACACAAACACACAGACTTCATTGGCATTTAATTTGCATACATAGTACAGTTTTTAGAAGACATTTCGGTAAGTTCATTGGAGAGTAAATAAAAGTCTTGAAATACCAGATACTTTATAGACACATTTAAAATAAATTATTGTTTTTTAAAAAGTTACATATTCCCCATTTGGTTGAAACCTTTCACCTCTAAAACCTTTCTAACTTTCTAGAGAAGAAAAATCAAGTACCTTAGGCTGCTGTGGAGAGGGACAGAAGAAATGCCATGCAATTCACCATTTTCATTTTTAACCATGAATCTGGTTCATCTTAGGTCTTTTTCTTTCTTCCATCGGCTCTTTTCACTTGCAAGTAGATATACATAGCTTTTCTGATTAAACATTTTTCAAACAGAACCTAGAATTACTTAATGGAAAATAGGTGATTGGTATGAAGTGGAACTTGTGTTTTGGTGTATGAATGCAAAATTAGAGCATTTTAGGGGTGAGTGAGTCATCACTTCTCCCTGTACCTAGATCAACACTAAAAGTCCACATCTTTGGCTTTCAGCAGTTCTTCTGTCTTTAAAAGACTTATGTTAAAATAGACATACCTGAGAAATAGCTGTGTTAACTTAGCAGAGATTTTGCGGGGTACTTGAAATTTTGAGGGGACATGGCAACATATATTCTATAGAAGAAAAAAATCAAAACACCTAAGGTTCTAGCTCTTGTTACTATTTTTTTTCTTAAGTCTTTCTCTCTCTCTCTCTCTCTTTTTTTTTTTTTTTTGGCAGTGCTGGCTGGGGTTTGAACCCAGGGCTTCACACTTCCTAGGCAGGTGCTCTACCACTTGAGCCACTCCCCCAGCCCTCGCTTGTTATTATTATGTTGTTGGGTGAATGGCTTAAAAATGGGTCCTCTTAGCTAATCCTTTAGCCTAGAGACCTACCTCCTAGGAGTCCAGGATGGGGAGAGAGAGAGGTGCTGGCACCTGCCACGTGGTGGTGAGGGAAAGCTCACCCACACAGCACAGCTGGGATTCTCTGTGGCCGAAGCCTTCACACTCCCTTCTGGTCACAGTTGGCCTCAGTGGGGAGTTGTAGGGAAGAGCAGGACAGACGCTGGGCACGAAGCGCGTATACATCGCTTGTCCCTGGCACAGGTTCCCGTTGAGACGCTGTCGCGGTGGAGCGCAGAACACACAACTGTAAACGAAGTGGGAAATTTCCTCCTGGAAGTGAGCACTGAGGAAGTTGGATCGTCCATTTCTAAAGAACTGAGAAGACTGAATAAAAGATGGAGGAAGTTTATCACCAAAACTCCGCTTGTAAGTTTTCTTTTGGTTTTGGTAACAGCTTTCCGCTTGCAAGTGCTTTTGGGGTAATAGCTTTACTGAGCTGTAACTCACATACCAAACAAGTCCCCTCGTAAAGTGTACGCGCGGGTGCGCGGAACCGCGCAGCCACCACCGCAGTTCCTTTTAGAGCATTTTCGTCACCTCGAGAAGATGCCCTTGTCCACATTAGCAGTCCCTCTCGGTTTCCTCCTGGACCTCCCAGCCCTAGGCAGCCATGGACCCAGTGTCCTTCCTTCCTGCAGACGTGCCTGGCGTGCACGATGGGCAAATTGCACATCAGTGGAGTCATGGGCTGCGCTCCTTCGCGACCGGCTTATTTCACTTTGGGTAATGCTCTCACATCATAGCATGGAGCTCCTCACTGGAGACCAAGAGTGTGTTGTGTGGATGTGCCACATTTTATTATTCATTCATCAGTCCCCGCACATCGGGTTCTTTCTGCTTCGTGGACCAACAGCGTAGCTGTGAACATTTGCATGTGTTTGTGTGGATGTGGTTTCACTTCTCTTGGGTGTGTGTCTAAGAGATCTTTGAATCCTCAGACCTTCCCACTACATAGCCTTCTAGTTGAAATTCTAGTTGGAATTCTTTTGTCTTTAAAGAATAATGTAAACACTGTTTTACTTTTTAGATTTCAACTCCTTTACAACGCACACTGGGCTGTATTTATCTTCGTGTTTAGCACAGTGACTTCTAATTTTAACTTAAATTATTCTTTTTCCTATTCTTAACATTTTGAGACTTAGGTGTTTTCTGAGAAATTCCCATGTTTTATAACATTATAGATGATTGATAAATCCTAAAAGTATGTCTATATTATGTCCATTTATCATTTATAAACTATATTAGCAAGCTGTGCATCAGTGGCCCACACCTGTAATCCTAGCTGTTCAGGAGGCAGTGATCAGGAGGATCATGGTTCAAAGCCAGCCCAGGAAAATAGTTTGTGAGACCCTATCTTGAGAAAACTCTTTACAAAAAAGGGCTAGTGGAGTGGCTCAAGGTGAAGGCCCTGATTTCAAAAGGCCAGTACTGCATAAAAAAGTAAACTAAAAAAAAAAAAAATACACATATATATATGTATATATTAGCATACAAGTAGAAATGTGAGCATTAAATTTCATGACATTAATTTTTATAGGAAATGAAACTGCCACTTATACAAAAGCAGGATAAGCCAATTCTTGGTGATTCTGGAAATATTCTATCTAAAGAAGAAAAACCAACTGTCAATTTTTCAACCGATATGTCAGTAGAACTTCTGGAAAATCACGATCAGGATGTAAAGGTAAAATGGTATTTCATTTGTATATAGGAATAATTTACCTTTGGTCTTTTTCTTTTAGAAAAACATATAGTTGGAACAGTGGTAAATGTATGGATCACTAGATAACAGTTATAATGTAATTTCCTAGGGAAATTATTGTTATTATTATTTTGTGGAACTGGGGTTTGAACTCAGGGCTTTGTCCTTGCAAAGCAGGCGCTCTGCCACATGAGCCATACCTCAGTCCATTTTGCTCTGGTTAGTTTGAAGATGGGAATCTCTTGAACTATTTTCCCAGGCTGGCCTCGAACCACCATCCTCCTGATCTCAACCTCCCAAGTAGCTAACATTACAAGGTGTGGCCCCTATGGAAATTCTTAAGAGGCTCACTTCATGAAGTAGCTGCTAGCATGAAAGGGCTGTGTCTCCTACTCCACTGTGGGGTTCTCCAGCATATGCAAACAGACATGACTTCTAAGTTGTGTAAATGGAGTTGATAATTCTTTAGAAGACTTCTCACTGCTGCTCAGAAATGGTCTAGCTTTAGGTGAGCTCTAACCTCTTTGTATCTTGCTTGCTTTCTCTTAAATGGAGAAATGAGGGTAAATATAACTGATTTTTCTTATTTTGTTGGATAATTTGGAGGACTTTAGATTATAAGTAAGACTATGGAAAAGGAATAAAAAATAAGTTATAAATCAAACACATGTAAGATATAACACCCAAGGTTTCAGAAATGTGCCTTTTACAGAATAACAATTTAGAGCCTTAGTTAAGCAAGTAATTTCAACTGGTTTTGGAAGCTGCCATGTTGGGGTGCTGGTTTCTAATCCTAGGAATGCCTGATCAGGGGCTGGAACACAGCACAGTGTGGCACAGTGCTTGCTTAACATGTGGGAAACTGGGTTCCATCCTCAGCACTGCAAAAAACAAACAACAAACAGAACAGAAGAGAACAACCGTGGCAATCACACAAACAAAAGTCCCCAAAGAAAGCCTAATTGAGAAACTGTGAAAAGATCTAAATTTGTGCAATATTTTAAAAAATATAAGTCTTTAAAATGTGATCTGATTAAAATCAACTTTGGAATTGTGGCTGTCACATAAAACTGAGTTTATCAATCTTGAGAGATTAATAATGAGAGAGGATTGAAAATTTTTGAAATTTGATTCTTCTAAGTCTCTTCTCTCTCTCTCTCTCTCTCTCTCTCTCTCTCTCTGACAGGATCTTGCTGCATAGTCCAGGATGGCCTGGAACTCACAGTCTTCTTGCCTCTGTCTCCCAAATACTAGCATTATAAGCGTGCACCACCATGCCCAGCTCTGAGTCTCTTTTGAGCTGTATTTACTTAAAAGCTGTATTTAATTAAATTGTTTATGAGGTTTATACATGTTTATAAAGCCTGATTTTCTAAGCTTTAATCTTGTCTATAAAATGGAAATATAAGTGATAAGAATGATATAGTAATTCAAATAATATATATGAACAAACCTTTAATTTGTGAAGTGATGCATGCCATCATAAAGTATTATCATTGTCCAAACTAGGTCTTATAACATTAAAATACAAGTTGTGTTTTAGCCAGTGACAGAGCAAATATGCCACTATGGCTATACCATATAGCCTAGGTGTGCAGTAGGCCATGGTATTAGTGTATCTACCTACATTCACTTTGTGATGGCTCCATGGTGACAAATAATAATGCATTTCTCAGGATGTATTTCTGTCATTACACAAATGACATATGACAATGTGTTGAATTGGCACTGTTACTTTTTAAAATGGAAGTGCTGACATTTTCTTAGTGATAATTTTGAATGTTATAGGCTGTGGAGGAACACGAAAAAGAAAATGAAGAATCCCCAGGACAATTCAAAGTGGGTGAAGAGGTTGAAAGACTCGTCAGACAGGTGGAAATCTGGGAATCAGAAGCCAGATTCATTTTGGATCTTCTGAGACATCAAGATGATGTGGACAGTTCTATGAAGGAATCCTTACAGGTATGAGTGGAATAGTATTTCATGGTGGTGGACTTAGGTGGACTTGTGTTTTAAGATAAATAAAAGGTTTTAAAGTAGTTATAAGCCTACAGTTTTAATTTTCGTTATTTAGAGTTTTAAAAACTGGCATGGATTTGGATCCATTAGACATTGGCCTTGATGGTGGCTGAAATACTTTATGAGTGTGAGTTCCCAGTTAGAGAATGGGATTAGAATAACCCCCTTTGTCACAGGGCACTGAGAGAGGAGTGAGTTCAGTCTGTCACATAGCTCCGTGTGGTGGGAACATAAGAACGAACAACATGTGCTTTGGAAGTCCTCCTGCTGAAGGAGCCACTTCCCCTCCTGGTGACAGGAGGGTAACTGACATTAGCACTCCATTCTCTCTTGATTCTCAGGCAGTTGCATCATTGAAAAGCAAAGAGGTGAGAGTCTCTTCCAATATTACTTAGTGTAATTGAGGTTTTTACTGAGCTCCAGCTCAGCTATAAAACCAGTGCAGCATGTCATAAGTTACAAGATGGGAGGTTGATGGAATGAAGGAGCCTTTACATAAATTTTCCTTAATCTGCATTTCTGTGAAGGGGTCTATTTCAGCATTTGGTGTTTTCATTGTTTAGAAGAGTGAAAATATTATATCCTTATAAAAATATAATTGGAAAGAACTTATTTCATTGGCCAGTGTTTTTTTTAATTTCCTTTTTTATTTTATTAGTCTATATGGAATTTACTTTAGTGAAAGAAATGAGGTAAAAATACTGTTTTAAAGATTCTTTTTAAGATGCAATTTTAAAATTAATTCATAATATTTTCAAAACATTTACCGTGAAAATACAGTCATGCTGAAATATATTTCTATTAGTAATGAATTGAGTAGCTCACTATTGGATGAAATATTTGATGAAGATATATTTTAAAATAAAAATATAAGTTATTGAATAGCATGGATAAATAATCCTACTTGTGTTTTTAAAAGAGTTGTGTTTTTATACTGTATGCTTTTATATCTGTAAAGTAATACCTATAAGATATAAAAATAATTAGTTTCTCTGTTGATCTTGCATTATGCCTAGCTTCTAGTATAGTTTCTGGTATGTAGTAAACATATATAAAATAATATTTTTAAATGAATATGTGAATGATTTATTAAATAACTAAGCAGGCCAATTTGGAGAAAGGAATTTTCTCTATTGTGCCTTTCTATTATTTTACATGAGCTCTTTTGTTAAATTAAAAAAGAGAAAATAATTGTAATCATAAATGAATGCTCTAATTTCAGAAAATTAAAATCACTATCATTCTACAGCCCAAAGACCAATAACATCAATTTTTACACAGTTGATGGCATACGATTTCTATTTTATCAGATTCATGTTACCCTTGAGTTGTAATTAAAATTCTTTTCACATTTTGCTAACTTGAGAGCTGAAAAATGATGTCATTATTATTTTATCTTATAGTACCTTAATGACTAGATCCTGTGAGCTGTTCTTCTTTTTTCAAAGTTTTGTTTGGATTCGTGGGATTTTTCTTACAGAATTACACAAGTTCTTTGAAGTGGGATCAATTTTCATTTCTCTGGCAAATATTTATACCAAGTTGTTGACTGTTAAGAAGTTTATTTTATTTTGCAGAGAGATTTATGTAGTTAGGTAGTCTTGTCTTTCTCTACTCTGATCTAAAAAGACTCTCCAACACCCAGACAGCAGATTGATTTTCATGGATAATTTATTCTTTACATAGTTTCATGTTTTACATATAGCTTTCTGTCTATCTGGAATTTATTGCGGTATGTTGCATGAAGTACAATTGCAAAGGGTTATTTTCCAGTAGTCATTTTCTCTGATAACATTTATTGAATTCCCTTCCACATTAGTTTGACTTAGAACATTCCATTTTAAGATTTATTACTGTTCTCTCAACTTATTTTCTTTGTATTGGCATTGTATTACTTCTAGTCTTTATTTTATTGAAGAGTTTACTATAGGAAAAGTAATCTATAAAAGCCCATGTGAATCAGAACCTGATGGTGTTATAATAGGAAATTTCAAAATGTGTCTTTAAAGTAACATTCTTCAGAATACAAATTTGCCTCATTCTGGATTAATAGCTAACATTTTGTAAGTTTCCTGGTGCATTGTTAAAGTTAATGTGTAACGTGTAATTTGGAGGTTTACTGTGATCACTCTTCAATTTGTTTTAACAGCATCTTATTGCAAAAGGCTCCATGTATGAAGAGCTTCTGGCCAGAACTCAAGATACTTTACAAATGGATGTTCAAAATATTTCAAGCCAGGAATCCCTCCAGTGCCTTCTCACAGCTGGGCTTCAAGCAAAGATTCAAGAGGCAAAAGAGAAAGTCCAGGTCTGTTTTTAATGTTCCTTATTTTGTAAATTTAATGTTCAGAACTCAATAGTGGGTGAGGAAGGGAGATGACTGTCCCTGAGCTTAGAAATGTTTTATAAAATAGTACTTTTGAATTATATTTTATTTCTTTATAATTTAGGGCATATTAGAAAATAGACATATTTTAAATTAGACATTCCTATGTGTAGTCAGAAAATATAAATTGGTTCTCAGAAAATATTGGTTGCTAAGTGCACATCAGTAATCCCACCAGTTGGGAGGCAGAAGGGGCTTGGTTTAAGGCCAGCCAGTCCAAGCAAAAAGTTAGCAAGACCCTATCTGAAATATAACTAAGGCACAAAGGGCTGGAGGTGTGTCTCCAGTGGTAAAGCACCTGCCTACCAAGTGTGAGGCCCTGATTTTAGACCCCAGGACCACACACACACACACACACACACACACACACACACACACACACACACACACACACACACACACAATGTGAGATTATGAATTTATTAAGAAGTTGGACCAGGTGTTAATTTGTTATTTTTGGCCTTCACAGATTGCTCTGGTAGAACTTGATGTAATGTTGAAGAACTCAACTGAAGTGTCACCAGAACTGGATGTCAAGCTGAGGGTGGAAGAGTCCCAGAAGGAAGTTGAGTCATACATTACAGGAGCTGAGCAGTTACTGGGCCAGAGAGAGACCCCTGGTGGACTCATTTCAAAATACAAGGTAGGAAGCTGTCAACCCTAACATGTAGGACATTGGTGCAAGACGTTGGTGTTGGGACATTGGTGTAGGACATTAGTGTTGGGATATTGGTGTAGGACATTGGTGTTGGGACATTGGTGTTGGGACATGGGTGTAGGACATTAGTATTGGGATATTGGTGTAGAGACATTGGTGTTGGGACATTGGTGCAGGGCATTGGTGTTGGGACATTAGTGTTAGGACATTGGTGTAGGACATTGGTGTTGGGACATTGGTGTAGGATATTGGTGTTGGGATATTGGTGTAGGACATTGGTGTTGGGACATTGGTGTAGGACATTGGTGTTGGGACATGGGTGTAGGACATTAGTATTGGGATATTGGTGTAGAGACATTGGTGTTGGGACATTGGTGCAGGGCATTGGTGTTGGGACATTGGTGTTAGGACATTGGTGTAGGACATTGGTGCAGGGCATTGGTATAGGATATTGGTGTTGGGACATTGGTGTAGGACATTGGTGTTGGGACATTGGTGTAGGACATTGGTGTTGGGACACTGGTATAGGACATCGGTGTTGGGATATTGGTGTAGGACATTGGTGTAGGACATTGGTGTTGGGATATTGGTGTTGGGACATTGGTGTTGGGATATTGGTGTTGGGACATTGGTGTTGGGACATTGGTGTAGGACATTGGTGTTGGGACATTGGTGCAGGGCTTTGATGTCAGACATTGGTGTTAGCTTCCTGTCTAGTTTGCAGTCCAGGTATTTCCTCCTCCACTGTAGTTACTTGCAAAGCTCCTGTAACTTTAGAAACTTCCTAGTTCTACATCGTTACCCTAACATTATTAAAAATAAAATTCAAATTAGGAATATTTTAATTCAAATTTCATTGTTTAGCCACTGAATTTGTTTGGTGTTAGTGTGATGAGCACAGCTCATTCTATAGTTGAGCAAAAATTTAGTTTCTCCAGGGCTGGGACATGGTTCAAGAGGGAGAGCATATGAAGCGCTAAGTTTTATTCCCAGTACCACCAAAAAAAATAAATAAGGAAAAAAATACTCTGGCTTTTTTATTTGTAAAATGAGCATAATAATTTCAGTCCTGTCAGATAGCTGATGTGTTATGAGGCTTTCAATGAAAACAAGGCAAGGGAAGACCCTTTGTACACTTGGAATTCTGTGAATGTGAAAGACTATTATCATCAAATAGCTTTGATAAGATTTGTGAACATATACTTAACTGTAAGGGAAAGACCCAATAAGGTTGTTTTGTATGGAGACAGTTTCCAGGTTAATTTTTTTCTAGGTTTCATAAGGCCATGGTTGCAGCTTAAGATATAAACAAGCCAGTGCTGGTGGCTCATGCCTGTAATTCTAACTACTCGGGAGGCTTAAGAGCCGAAGGATTGAAGTTCAAGGCCAGTCCAGGCAGCTAGTTTGTGAGACCCCCCATCTCTAAAATAGCAGAGCAAAATAGACTGGAGGTGTGGCTCAAGCAGTAGAGCACCTGCTTTGCAAGCTTTGATCCCTGAGTAATCCCAGCACTAGCTAAGTTTGTTTATATCTTAAGCTGTAACCCCAGCCCCACCAAAAAAATGTTTATTATATAAGCATAGCAGAAATTCACTGTCTTGAACACTATGGGAAGTGCTGGGGGGATTTGAACCAAAGGGAAAACAAGGTCTGTACCCTTGGACACTCTGGGGAGCTGGAGTGTACCTGATCTTTTGTTCATTCATTTCTTCATCATTGAGCACATTTGTAGAGTACTTGAAAAGAGCTGGGCATTTTGAGGGAGATGAAGATGCAGTCAGCAGTACCCCTGTCCTACTGCTCCCACTCTTCATAGGCCATGGCACCCTTTTTGCATTCCCATCTTGGCCCCCATCTCTCTTCTGAGCCTCAACTTTTGGCTTCCTGCTTTGCCAACCATACCAGATCCAAATAGCCCTTGGCCTGTTCAGTCTTGTGCTATGTGGACTTTGCCAGCCAACTGTCTGGTTTTCCCACTTTTGCTCCCAGGTGGTATACAATGCTGAGTCAACCTTAAATTTAGAGTCACTGTTTTTTGAAGTGACCATTAGGTTGGATTTCAGGAGGGCTGGCATGGCTGCTAACCAAAGGGAAAAGAAAAGGAGGGAGCTTCCTAGGTTTCAGCTCCACTAAAAAGAAGAGTTGGAAATAGCAGTTTTTGTACCATTTCTCTCCCTGACCATCTCTCTTTTGGAATCTGAAGCCAGGATTCTCCCTATTTGGCTCTGGCATTTCGTGGATTCATTTTCACAGCAGAAGTAGGATCTGCGTTCTGTCCTGACACCCTGGGACTCCATGGGCGCACAGGCAGTGGAGACTCCGTGCCAGTATCTAGGGGTGAGGAGGTCTCCCAGGTCATAAGTCTAGCAATTCTTGAAGAAGGGCCCTTGGCACCCAGCGTATGCCATGTGTTCAGAGGTCGCTTCCTAAGTGTGCCATGAGTGAATGAACAAATTTCTACCCTGCTTAATTGCCTTCTACCCAGCTCCTCTATTTCCTTTCTCCTGTAGGTGTCCAGTTCTTTTCACAGGTTTCAGCTTTTTTGTTTTTATTCTAGACCTAGGTCTCTGCTGTCACAGAGTGTGCCAGGTAAAGCGCAGATACATTTCTGGCAAGACTGTGCCTACCCTGTCTACTCTGCTCGTTCCGTGGGGCAGAACTGACCGTGTGGTGTGCACTGGGGAAAACGTCGAATTAATGGTGTGGTAATGTTACCTTCTTACAGGATAGCAAGGCTTGTGCACAGTATTAAATATTGGCCATCTAAGTCCCACTAGAAATTTTGTCTTACTGCCATGCTAATCCTGTTTTTTTTCTTTTGGTGGTACTGGGATTTAAACTCAGGGCCTCATGCTTGCTAGGCAGGCACTTGAGTCACTCTTGCCATGGTAATCTTGCATCCATGCTAGTGTCCAATTCATATTGTGTTGATTATACAGTATGGTTCTCTGCTCAATGTGTAAAAACGTTAGCAGAAACTATGTTATCGGCTCATTACTTTGTACAAGAAGCCTTTTAGTTTGTTTACCTATGAAGCAACAAAAACCTTTTTTGGGTATCCTGAAGATATTAAGTGTGTAGCTACAGTTGAATAATAAATATTTTGTAATTCTTTAAAAGAATTCAAGAGATGCAAAACTGTGGGTCTCAACTATATAACTGTATTGGAATAATAAGTATTTGTATTATTGTTTTTGAGATAGAGTCATACTGTGTTACCCAGGCTGGTCTCAAACTCACATTTCTCTTGCCTCTCTTGATGATTGCTGGTTACAGATGTACACCCCATTGCCTGGCTCAAATTAGTAAATACTTTTAGTTCTTTTCAAAAGAATTCAAGAGGTTGGGCATGATGACTCATGCCTTTAAATCTTAGCTACTCCAAAGGCAGAGACAGAGAGGGTCTCTGTTCCAGCCATCTCAGGCAAAAAGTTAGTGAGGCCCCATCTCAACTAATAAAAGCTGGGTGTGGTCAAGACATCTCTCATCCCAACTATATGGAAAGTGTAAATAGGAGGATTGAGGTCCAGGACCACCCTAGGCATGAATGTGAGACTATTTGAAAAACAGCAGAATTAAAAAAGCTTGGGGGATGGTTCAAGTGGTAGGACACCTGACTAGCAAGTGCAAGGCCCTTAGTTCAAACCTCAGTACTCCCCCCACCCCCCAAAAGAGAATTCAAGAGATGCAAAGGGAACATGATCCTCAGTCTATAGAGAGCTCTCTCCCGTAAACCTTCAGATTGTCACTGGAGTCCCCTCTGGTTCTCTCTGTGAGGGACCTAGCACAATAGCTTTGAGGATTTAGCAGTACGATTGGGTCTCCATCCTGTTGCTTGTTTTCCAGGAAGCACTGAAAATTTTGAATACTAATAGTCTGGTTAAGTACGTGAAAGCTGTTGAAGAACTGAAGCACAGTGAGCCTGAGGACGTGAGATTGGCCCTGGAAGAGGAGAGTCGAGGTGCCTGTGCCAAGTGGGAGGTGAGAGCATCCCTGTGCCTCCAGGAGCCATGACCGTGGGGCAACTCCTGGGCCCATATGTCACTCCTGTGTGTCTTCTCCTATTCCAGATGGGCTAAGTTCTGCGAGGGCTGGTGCCAGGCTCCTTGTCAATTGGCTCTGTCTGCCTTCAGCCAATAGAGACGGGTGATCAAAGGGAAAGAGAGGGAAGCCCTAATGGGGTCTTCCCCTCCCCCTGCCATCCCATGCGTCTCCCACTGATGAGCGTCTGTCCTCCCTGGGCTCTGGAGGCCTCCAGCCCAGGATGACAATGGCTTTTGCTGTTGGTGATCTCTGCATGGCCTTCCTGTTTCCTGTCTGACTTCTCTGAACTTTCATCTCTGTTGTAATCAACTCCTTGCACTTAACATTCGTAGGTTTAAAAATATAAAGTGTTTTCTGGTTTCCTGGTTAGCTCCTGACTGAGATAATATATTGACACATGTTTGCATACAGAGTTTCATAGTGAAATAAGTACAGCTTTGGTGACAGACGAACCTGGATTCAGAAGCTATAACCCTGGTCAGGCTACTTAACTTTTAGGACCCTTACTGATTAAAATGGAATTTACAAAGCCAGGTGTGGTGGCTCACATGTGTAATCTCAGCTACTCCAGAGGCAGTGATCAGGAGGATAATGGTTGGTGGCCAATCCAGGCAAAAACTTAGCCAGACCTCATTTCAACCTACAAGCTGGGCAGGATGGTGCATGACTGTCATCCCAGCTATGGGGAGGCAAAGGAGGATCGAAGTCTGAGGCTGGCCTGGGCAAAAGCATGAGTCCCTTGTGGGAAAAATAACTAAAGCAAAGCAAACAAACAAATCCTAGGGGCATGGCTCAACAAGTAGATCCCTTGCATAGCAATTAAGAGCAAGGTCCTGAGTTCAAACCCACCCCCACCCCATAAATTGAATTCACAATTTACTGGGCAGAAATATTACAAAGATTTCTATAAAGCATCTATGTTGCCTGTGCCTGGGTCCCGTCTAGTATACATTTTGTATTTATTTGTTATGTCTCTTTAGGCTCAGAGAGGTGTTTTGAATACATTTTCTTCCAATCTGTAACTTGTCTTTCATTTCTTAACACTCACTTTCACAGCTAAAACACACTTTTAGTTAGTAGAAAGGAAAAATATGTTTATGGGTCCGGTATGTTTTAAAACATTCTCTCCAAAGATACATGGATAAATTATAATGTTGTTTAAAATCTCTTTCTTTCCTTTTGTTACTGTAAATATTTTTCTGTGGCTACAAATAGTTTCCAGTGTGTTCTATCCTCATGATTAATATGTTCTTTGTTTTTTTGCAGTCTCTTCATCATGAAATTTCCTTGTATATTCAACAACTAAAATTAGATATGGCAAAAGAAAAGCTGAGTGACAATATTGCAAAATTGGAAAGGCAAATAAATAAAGAAAAGAAACTTATTCGAAGAGGAAGGACCAAGGGTCTCATGAAGCAACATGAGGTAAAACAACCTATCCCTACGTCATTTTGTCATTATTTTTGCAGTTTGTCTGAAATTATTGTGTGTGTCCTTAGCCTAGAATTAAATCTGCTCTGCGAATTGCTTAAGCCCTCTCATTTCCCGGTTCTGTCACTTACCTGGCATAGACTGTAACTAGATCCTGTGCCTCTTAATTTATAGAAGTAAGAAAATCCACAAGTTAGTTCATATTTCATGATTTCCTTCTCCCCTGGGAATGGAGCCCAGGACCTGTGCACGCTAGGCAAGTGCCCTACCAATGAGCTACTCCCCAGCCTATAATTTCCCTTGCTCCATCTCAGTGTCCAGGACCTGAGACTCTGGCCACATCTGTGTCAACTACTGCTGAAGTACAGACACTTCTGTCAGGGCATGGTGTCCTGAGAAGCACACCTTCTGTGACAATGAGCAAATCACAATATAGAGCAATTTGGGGCAGACCTAATGATCTTTTTGGTTCCCATCCTATTTGATTGCTTTTATGTATTTGATGCTACTGGTCTTATCATTTCTTTGTAACTGTCTACTGCTGTGGCTTTCCTAATATCTGTCTGTCTTGCACATATATATATATATGTATATATACACTTATACATGTACACAAGTATGTATAACACCCCCCTACACACACCACACACACACACACACACACACACACACGCTGGCTGGAGGGGATCCTTCCTTTTAGTATTCTTCAAAAATATTTCCCTTTTTCTTGTGTTATTTTAATTTTTGTGGGGGGGATGGGGCAGGAGGTCTCTGTCTTTGGCTAACTTCATGCTTCCTCTAGGGGATTTTCCACCCTTGGGGGTTAAAACTGCCTCCTCTGTCTAGTCATTCTCTCCAGTGGGGACTTGTCCCCTAAGCTCCATGCTCTGTTTCTAACTAGTAGATATCACCAGTGTTCATCAGGGACCTTGAAATCAGAATGTGGAAAACTGAGCCAGTTGTCTCCCTTTCAAACCTTGCTTCCCCTCCGTGAGCTGTTTCAAGTCACCTTACCTTCCTTCCCCCTTTCTTCCTGCTTGGCCCTAGTGGCGTTGGCAGCTAGATTCTACGTGGTCCTCTTCACAGCAGCTTCCTTCCTGCCTTTCCACGGCTTTGCCCCCTACCCTCAGTCTGGGTTATCTTCTCAGTAAGATGCTGCTGCACTGACTTCCGCCATCAGTTAGCCTTTTCTTTTCTTTTTTCTTTTTTTGGCAGTCCTGGGGTTTGAACTCAGGGACTTCACCTTGAGCCACTCCACCAGCCCTTTTTTTTTTTTGAAGGGTTTTTTGAAGATAGG